CTCTAGTATCGAGTACTCTAATAGTCTGGGTTCAAGACAATGCTGGGTGGGGGTTAGGTTTTGGTATTCCTGCATTGTTTATGGGCATTGCTATTGTTAGTTTCTTTTCTGGCACACCCCTATATAGATTTCAGAAACCGGGGGGAAGCCCTCTTACAAGAATGTGCCAGGTTTTGGTTGCATCATTTCGTAAGTGGAATTTGGATGTCCCTAGAGACAGCACTCTCCTGTATGAAACACAAGATAAAGGCTCTGCCATTAAAGGAAGTCGTAAGCTGGAGCACAGTGATGAACTGAAGTAATGCTCTGAACGTTTAAATTATATTTTTCTTGAATAACTCAACCTTATAATCAAACTTTAAAAATTTATGAACTTTGTTTTTGCTGCAGTTGTCTTGATAAAGCTGCTGTGATATCAGAAACTGAGACCAAAACTGGGGACTTCTCCAATCCATGGAGGATTTGCACTGTAACACAAGTGGAGGAGTTGAAGATTTTAATACGAATGTTTCCAATCTGGGCTACTGGAATTGTCTTTTCTGCTGTTTATGCCCAAATGGCGACTATGTTTGTGGAACAAGGGATGATGATGGACACATCTGTTGGGTCTTTCACCATTCCCCCAGCCTCCCTCTCATCTTTTGATGTCATCAGTGTTATTTTCTGGGTCCCCATTTATGACAGATTTATTGTCCCGATTGCTAGGAAATTTACCGGTAAAGAAAGGGGTTTCTCAGAGTTGCAGCGGATGGGTATTGGTCTCTTTCTGTCAGTGCTATGCATGTCAGCTGCTGCCATGGTAGAGATGAAACGATTGCAGCTTGCAACGGAGCTTGGTTTGGTTGACAAAGACGTAGCTGTACCGCTCAGTATCTTTTGGCAAATACCTCAATATTTCTTGTTGGGTGCTGCAGAGATATTCACATTCATTGGGCAGCTGGAGTTCTTCTATGACCAATCTCCAGATGCTATGCGGAGTTTGTGTAGTGCATTGTCGCTTCTGACGACTTCATTGGGAAACTATTTGAGCTCTTTGATTCTGACAATCGTGACTTACTTCACAACACAGGGCGGGAAGGCTGGATGGATACCAGACAACTTGAATGAAGGCCATTTGGATTATTTTTTCTGGCTCTTATCTGGACTCAGCCTCTTGAATATGTTGGTGTACATAGTGTGTGCCAAGAGGTACAAAAAGAAGAAGGCTTCTTAAGGCTTTTCCAGGAGGCCCTTTGCGTTTCTTTAGACCATAAAGGGAAGAAACTGAAGAAGTGATGTGTAATGTTTTCCCGTCTGATGGTGCTGAAGCAATCTGTAAAAATCATTGTCTTTGATACTTCTGTAAATAACCCGCTACACGCTACAAGCTGTGCATTTTTCTTAAAAGTCATTTAAGATTATAAAGAAGAGAATGTGTGTTCCGCTTCTTTTTCTTGCTTAGATTTTTGGCCTGATAGGTTGTGTGTCGTCTCTGTTGGGTACTATGGCGTCGGTTCATATGGCATGAGTGGGTCTCAACCTCAAGTCTCAAGTTTATTGGAGCTTTGCATACTTGTTTTTAAGGCCAACAAACAAACAACAAAATATCCAATCTGTGTATGCGGCCAACTCCTTCAAAGTTCCATTTCAACATGAATCTCGCATGACAACCAATCCATCAACCATGCTTTGCTTTCTGAGTTTCTTTTCTTCTCATCAGTCGTTTGATGAGTCGCCAATGAATGCCCAAAGTAGAACACGATAACAGAGAAAACAGAACACGTGACATCAATTGGATTAATCCGATACGTCTTCATTAATCACACTATGTTTTGCCCCATTAGTCGAAATGATAAAGATGATTTGTCTTATTGGTTATTTTATTAGTTTTAGTTTGAGCTTAAATGCAGGTCATCTTGAATCAACGAATGATAGTGAAGTCCGTGGAATTGGGGCCTTAAGTCAACGTCATACTCTGTCATCCATATTTACTTGAACAAATCACAACAACAGAAATTTGATTCTTAATTACTCCAAAAATTTAACAAGCAAAAACAAAAGTTGATTTTGATCTGATATCTTTTTCGAATCTGTGGACATTAGAAATCTGAAACGAGGAAAGAGAAAGAAAGAGAGAGAGGGGAAGAGAAGATGGGTTCTGAGGATGATGAAAGAGCACTTTTGGAAGCTTATATTTTGCAGGTTTTACCTCTTCCTATGCTCTTACTTGCATATTCTGTATGTTAGCGTGGCCTGATTTCATCCTTACTCATTTCCTTTGAAATTTTTATCTCACTCTGCTGGTGTATCATAAAATTTTATAATTTATAAACAAAAGAGTTTGACTTTTTGTTTTTTGCTATCTTGGTTGATTGGGTTGGGTATGCTGCATGCATCATGTTATAATGTAAGAAATATTTATCCCTTGTAAAGTCTAGCAGCGGAGGCAGAGCGTGGCATCTCTGTAAAGTCTATCTTTTCTTTGATTCCATTCCCACTCATCTCTGAGTTGATACTCATAAAAACCAGTCTATACTCATAGCCATAAACGTTAAAAGTTGGGACTGAATAACTTTTTCAACTCCCTCCGGCATTGACATCATCAATTTGTATCCCCGAATGTCACTAATTTGTGATGGAATACTATAGCCATTGCAATTTCAGTCAGGTTGTTGATACCCCGCTTCTATTGAGTTCCACATTGGTAACATTTTTCTTGCCTGCTTTTGTTTGTCCTTTGGATTCTGAACATTTTTTGTTTTATCTATGTGATGTTTTATATTATGTCTTCAGAATGAAGGCAGTGGCCTCTACGCCGGAGATGGTTCAGTTGACTCAAAGGGGAAGCCTGCTCTCAAAAATGATACTGGACAGTGGAAAGCATGCTCCTTCATTCTTGGTGATATATTGTCTTCAACATTGCTCTTATCTGTCCAAGATCTTCTGTTTCTAACAGTTGTAAGATCAAATACAGGTACCTTTTTCTGTGAACGCTTGGCCTTCTATGGGATTTCTACCAATCTTGTCAACTATTTCATCGAGAAACTACACGAAAGAACTGTTGTTGCTTCAACAAATATTACTAATTGGAAAGGAACTTGCTATATTACACCCCTCATTGGGGCCATCTTAGCTGATACTTATTGGGGAAGATATTGGACAATTGCTGGTTTCACCACAGTCTACTTAATTGTAAATATTAGCTGATCATTTTGCGTTTCTGTACATACACGTGTAGCAGATCAATGGATCAGCTCACGGAAGGTTCGCAAGATGTATTGAGGGAAATGATATGTCAGACTGCCTCCTTTATCATCTCATTTTTACTGATTGCTTCTATGTATATGCACTTTTATAAATCTTCACTCAAATGTTGAACAACTGTGATTTCATGCAGGGAATGTGTACACTGACTCTCTCAGCATCCGTCTCGGCACTGAAGCCTGCTGAATGTGTTGGCTCTGTATGTCCTTCAGCTACTACTGCACAATATGCAGTGTTCCTCACTGGACTATATCTGATTGCATTAGGGACCGGCGGGATCAAACCTTGTATATGGCCTTTTGGGGCGGACCAGTTTGATGATACCGATCCCAAGGAAAGGGTGAAGAAGGGATCCTATTTCAACTGGTTTTACTTTTCTCAAAACATTGGTGCTATTATAGCAAGCAGTGTACTGGTGTGGATTCAGGACAATGTTGGTTGGGGAATTGGATTTGGAATTCCTACAGCGCTTATGGGTGTTTGTATTGCAAGTTTATTGATAGGCACACCTCTATATCGATTTCAGAAACCAGGCGGAAGCCCTCTAACAAGAATATGCCAAGTTTTGGTTGCATCATTCCGCAAAAGGAATCTAAAGGTGCTTGAGGACAACAGTCTCCTTCATGAAACACAAGACAGAAGCTCTGCCATTGAAGGCAGTCGTAAACTGGAGCACAGCAATGAGCTAAGGTAGTCTTCTTCTCTTCATTGTCCAGGTTTTGGTTGCAATATTCTCCTGCACATTTCACATAGCATTGCTTTGTGGAATTAATTACCATGTCTTTGCTGCAGGTGCCTTGATAAAGCTGCCCTGATATCAGACGCTGACATTGAACATGGGGACTTGTGTAATCCATGGAGGCTTTGTACCGTTACACAGGTGGAGGAACTGAAGATTTTGATCCGCATGTTTCCAATATGGGCAACAGGAATTGTGTTTTCTGCTGTGTTTGCCCAAATGTCCACACTATTTGTGGTACAAGGGAAGCTGATGAAAAGAACTCTGGGTTCTGTCACCATTCCTGCGGCATCTCTCTCATTTTTTGATTTCGTAAGTGTTATTATCTGGGTCCCCATCTACGATAGCATAATCATCCCAATCGTTAAAAAGTTTACAAGCAAGGAGAGGGGCTTCTCGCAGTTGCAACGGATGGGAATTGGGTTGTTTGTATCGATTCTATGTATGGCAGCTGCTGCATTGGTAGAGATTAAGCGATTGCAGCTTGTCACGGAGCTTGGATTGGAAGACGAAAAGGTTGCTGTACCGCTTAGTATACTTTGGCAAATTCCCCAGTACTTCTTGTTGGGCGCTGCAGAAGTTTTTACGTTCATCGGACAGCATGAGTTCTACTATGAGCAAGCTCCAGATGCCATGAGGAGTTTGTGCAGTGCGTTGTCTCTTCTCACAAATTCATTGGGGAATTACCTCAGCTCTCTCATTCTGACAATTGTAACTTACGTCACAACAAAGGGTGGGAAGGCTGGATGGATTCCAGATAACTTGAATGAGGGCCATCTTGATTATTTCTACTGGCTTTTAGCTGGACTCAGCTTCTTAAATTTGGTGGTGTACATGGTCTTTTCCAGAAACTACAAAGAGAAGAAGGCTGCTGCTGCTTAAGATCTCAACAAGGCATTCTTTCAACTTAAGATCTCTTCTCACCAAGGGATTGTTTCCTATATTATCATTATAAATAGAAGTTTGATATGTAACAAGTTTCCAATGTGGCATTATTTTTGGAAACAATTGCTTACAATTACAACTATTGTTGTAAAAGAATGATGTATCTATAATCTACATATACGTTGTGTATATGAGCATTACATGCTCTGCAATTGTAAGTTTCCTTAGTCAAAAGGAGTATGTGATTGGATTGACGATGGTTAAGTAATTTCTCAACCATCATTCTTCCAGCATTAAAGTCTCCCTTTGTTTTCTCTTTTTTATCAAAGCATGAAGTGTGATTGTAAATATTTTTCTTTTTTCCAAAAAGCGATACTGGCTCAAGTGCTAACTACGCCTAAGTCCTGTATTCGATTTCCCCCTCACCACATATTGCTTGTATTTAGGAAAAGAAAAACAACACTACTCCTTTCTTTTTGGACATGATATTTTGGAGAGGCCCATTGGGCCTATAATTCTGAATCTAGAAGTAAAAACCCTTTAACTATATAATGGGCCTGGGTGTACCCACACCACACCCATTTGCCCAACCCACACATGTGGCTTAACCTAAAACCTTCTTTCACCTTTCCAAAACTCTACCTCTACCTCTGCATCTGCCTCCGTTGGGTGTCACCGCAGCAGTTCTTCACTAGCAATCTCGTCGATTCGTTGTTGCTCCGACTCCAAACATGAGGCCGATTCTGATGAAAGGGCATGAGAGGCCCTTAACTTTCCTCAAATACAACAGGGACGGAGACCTCCTTTTCTCCTGCGCGAAGGACCATAACCCGACGGTCTGGTTCGCCGACAATGGGGAGCGCCTCGGCACCTACCGTGGGCACAACGGTGCCGTTTGGTGCTGCGATGTTTCCAGAGACTCCGCGCGCCTCATCACCGGCAGCGCCGATCAGACCGCCAAGCTGTGGAACGTTCAGACCGGTCAGCAGCTATTCACCTTTAATTTTGACTCTCCGGCGAGGGCGGTTGACTTCTCAGTCGGCGATAGGCTCGCAGTCATAACCACAGACCCCTTCATGGAGCTCTCTTCCGCGATTCACGTCAAGCGCATCGCCAACGACCCCGCAGATCGTAACCTTCTCTTCCTTGCCCTCTTTTTAGCTTTTTATGTTTTACATAATAATTGAATTCTGAGTAATTGGTGGTTTCAATATTTTCAGAGGTTGGTGAGTCGGCTCTGATACTCAAGGGACCTCAGGGAAGAATTAACAGGGCTGTTTGGGGGCCTTTGAACAGAACCATCATAAGCGCCGGAGAAGACGCTGTTATTCGTATTTGGGACTCGGAGGTGACTATTGGCTATGCTTGCATTGGAAATTCGGAAGCTTTTCTTTTATTGGCTTTAAGTTTTGTTTTCCATTCTTTCCAATTTGCAGACTGGCAAACTACTTAAGGAGAACGATAAAGAAGTGGGTCACAAAAAGACGATAACATCACTTGCAAAATCTGTTGATGGTTCGCATTTCCTCACTGGCTCGCTAGATAAATCTGCCAAGGCACGAATAAACTTCATCTTTTTGTTTCTATTGAGTTGTAGCTTCTGTATTTTTACTGATTTTGTGTCTTCTGCTGCAAATTTTTCAGCTTTGGGATATTAGAACGTTGACGCTTATCAAGACCTACGTGACGGAGCGTCCAGTCAATGCCGTTGCAATGTCTCCTCTTCTCGATCATGTATGTCATTGTAATCTATTTTTTTACAAGCTTGTGATATTCGTTAAATTGTCATCTTCTTGTTTTCCTTTCCATTTTGTGAAAAAGATCCGTCTCATTAGCTTGTCAACTTGTTTTGACTCAATAATTTGCGTGTTTAGTTTCCAGTTTTAAATTTGATGAATGGATTATGCTTACTATAGAGTAAAGACATTTAGTTCCTTTATATCTCTTGTTTATGCACTGTTTTTCCTTGTTCATTATAAAAGTCTTCATCTTTTTTCTCAAAACAAAATTCCTTATGTGCTGTGCAGGTGGTACTTGGTGGTGGTCAGGATGCATCAGCTGTCACCACAACTGATCATCGTGCCGGAAAATTTGAAGCCAAATTCTATGACAAGGTAAACCTTACTACTTTTGTTTATATTTTTTGTAGTAGGTTGTTGTCACTCAGTACATGAATTTTTTTTCCAATGACATATGTATAGGTTCTTCAAGAAGAGATTGGAGGTGTTAAAGGGCATTTTGGACCTATAAATGCTTTGGCTTTCAATCCTGATGGAAAAAGGTACAGTTCAATCCCATAACTGCTTTTGTTGGTTTCATGAATACATAAGGAGTAAAGGCTTCTTAATTAGAATTGGACTGCATTTTAAGTACTCATTGTGATATATTTGTACATGAACAATTTGTTTAGCTACAAAAGTTATTTTAACTATAAAACCGAGATGAAATTGTGCATAACTTTTTACATGCTATCTGGCATATGTACCTGGTTAAAAGTCTATAAAAAGGTGCTAGAGTTTAATTTATGTGGTAGGTATAATGGTATCAATGTTTCTCATTTTCTGCCCATATGCATTGAGAAAATTGTCTTGGATAGGAAATTCATGTTTCTTTAATCAGAAGTGTTTTAGCATTAATGTATTTTTGTTTTTGTAACTATTTGTTTATTTTATTGTATTTTGTAACTCTCAGTTTCTCAAGTGGAGGTGAGGATGGTTACGTACGTCTACATCACTTTGACTCGGATTACTTCAACATCAAGATTTAAGTTTGCAGCATACTTTGTTATCAATTCTCACTTTGGAGGGTGCTGGAAAAGCTATTTCGCCCTTTTCCAAACCTGCTGTTTCCAGCAATTATTTCTGTAGTTCTGGTATTGTGACTAAACAACCAAGTTCTGTGTCTGCTTGTTGTTGGAAGAAAAACAGTTTTGTAGAAGATTCTATAGATGAGATGATCATATTTATCCTTCTAGTCGTTCCAATAACTTATCTGATTTGAATTTGAATTATAGTTTTAGCGAGTAGGAGAAACGAGAGAAAAACAAGACAGCTGATATGAGTAGCAGTTTGAGTTTGATATTAGAGAAGCAGTTTTGGAATTTGATGGTAGAGAAGCAATTTGAAGCATAATGGTATTGCTCATTGTGTTGTCTTGATAACGTACATGCAAAAGATAGAATTCGTATTTTAATATTAGATAAGCATGGCATAAAACACAAAAGTTTTATTCATGAAGTAGCTTCAGTTGTCTATTCATTCGAGGAGTAGGCGTGGGTATAAAAGTTTGGAAGTTTGAAATGGAATTGAAAGATTAAGACATTGAAATCCTGCGTGTTTTGATGGAAGATATTCCAAGTAGGCTCCATGAACATTTCATTGAATGGTACGTTAATGACCATTTTGGTAGATGAAGCTCATGGTACTGCAAGCTGAAGTATAACCCCCATCAAGAACTAGATTATGTGCTGTTATGAAGCCAGCGTCTTCACTGGCTACGAACAATGCAGCTTCTGCTACATCTTCCACAGTTGGACATCTCCCACGCAACAAGCTCCCCCTTTCCCCTACTATTTTGCTTACGTCTTCAGCCTTCATATCCATTTTCCCGAGATGCTCTCTGTAGGCACTGACGAGCATCTCTGAAGGAACCCCATGAGGTGAAATGCAGTTCACACGAATGCCATGCACTCCCAACTCACAAGCGGCGCTTCTCACCAGGCCGTTGATGGCCTCCTTGGACAGCGTATAGGCATGTCCTCCAAGGCCTCCCATGATAGCTGCCGAGCTCGATGTGCAAAGGATGCTCCCTCCTATTCGGCCCTTGATCATGGCGGCAGCAGCATACTTGATTCCATGTATAACGCCAAAAACATTGACGGAGAGGAGTTGCTTCACATTCTCCATGTCAAGGCTGGTTATGCTCCCCGAGGGACCAGGAACGCCAGCATTGTTGAACATGATGTCAAGTCGACCTTTCCAATTGAGCGCAAGCTCAATAGCTGATTCAATATCGGCTTCCTTTGCCACATCACAGTGTATGTAGCGGCCTCCGATAGAATCAGCTAGTGTGGCTCCCAAGTCGTCAAGTATGTCAGCAATGACAACGTGGGCACCGTGATCGGCAAACAGCTTGGCTGTGGCAGCTCCAATCCCTCTTGCACCCCCAGTTATGACTGCCACTTTGTTCACCAACCTAACAAAAAGCATACAATAACACAAAAACGTTAGATATGATATCGTCCTTAAGCAGCTAACTAGGAATTTGGCTTAAAATTTGTTAGCTAACCTCTTTGGAGGCAGCCTGTGGGCTTCTTCTTCATCATGCATTGGAATTGATGGATCCATTTTTAGTACCTCGAATGTTGTCGTCTATCGACACCTTGATGGTATATAATGGAAGTTGAACTGCCATAAGGATTAAACAATGTCCAAAAGTTGGGGTAAAGCAAAAGAAGTTGAGCAGTGCTCTTTGGAATGCTCCACACTTTTCATTCCTTAAAACTACTTCCAACCCATAATCTGTGCAGTTTTTTACCATCTTTTTTTCTTTTCTTCTTCTTCTTGTTTTTGGAACATTGTCTAAACTCAAATCCCGAATGGACCCTTCGTTTTGATGGATTTACCAGCCCAAAAACAAACAAAATTTTGGGCTTTTCCCTCGATAGCTTAGCTCATGACTTCGGCCCAATGCACCCCAAAAAAAAAATCAAAATCTCTTCATTGACTCCAAAAAAAAAACAAAAAAAAAACAAACAAACAAACAAACCAAGAATGAAAGGTGTTGATATGGTGGACTATGGTAACTAAATACGAATCCGCACACTAAAACGAAACGACCTTAAACACCCCGACACTGAAAGCCGTCGTACACGCCATCAGAGCCACCAAACTCTGAACACCCAGAACCAAAAAGGACTTAATTTTCAAGGAATGGCAGCTGAGGGAACGTCGAAGAAGATGATAGCGACCCAGGCAGAGATGGTGGAGGCTCGGGTGCCGCTGCCCTACAGAGATCAGTGCGCCCAGTTGCTCATCCCTCTGAACAAGTGCAGGCAGGCTGAGTTCTACCTCCCATGGAAGTGTGAGAACGAACGCCACTCGTACGAGAAGTGCGAGTACGAACTCGTTATGGAGAGAATGCTCCAGATGCAGAAGATCCGTGAAGAAGAGGCCAAGTTAAAGCAGACCAAGAAGAAGGGACAGTCAATTCCTCTCATTCCAAACACTGCCAACGCATAGAACCCACATTCCATTATTTGGTAATTCACTAATTGATTCGTCTGCTTCTATT